TTCTTTTTCCAGTCCCTCACTAATTTGGCACCAAAAATTAATCTAAAAATTATTAACCATCATTTTCTACCATCCCTCACAGCTATACAACTTTTTTTACAATACTTTTATCTACTGTTTCCCTATGGAAATAACCCTCTGACCATTAAACATATAAACTTATAGAGGGAAAGAAAAGCCAAAAAATCCAAAATCAAACCACAAACAAAGTGAAGGTAAAATTTGATGCCTTTGCCCATTCACACCTGACTTGCCAACCACTGAACATAAACTTATTCTGCTGTAACTTGCTCACCTTGGGTTTGGTGAAGAAAGGAAGGGGAGAGGGAGGGAGAAACAGCTGTTTGCAAAGAAATGACAATCAAAACCCAAATCTTGATTTGCCTGATGCATGTTTCCTTTTCCTAGACAGGATCAAAACATTTATTTCGCTGTTATTTTGATAGCTATCATCATGGTGGGACAGAATCCTTAAAATCAGCTCTGCTATTGTTTCTAGACAGTCCAAATCTTCATCTTTTCTGGATCCGTCATTATTGTAAAATGAGACACTCATCACTCCTCCATAGTTTTCCTCAGCACAGATGTTGACAAAAGGACTGTTTTCTTTGTTTTTCAGTGTGATTACATCACAACCCAGGTTTCCTAATCTCTGGCTATAATGTCTAAAATTTGTAATAAAAAACTGTCCTTACACAGAAACTTCACTTATGAAGAGCTATAATGCTTGCCTCCAAAAACCCCATTCACAGAATAGAGGCAAACACAGTCTGGCTTTCATTCTTTTGAAAGCATTTGGCTACCATCAATCTGTATGTTACAGATTCAGTTTAACAAAGACGTTTCAAATGCCTCTGCTTCAGCTAAGTATTTGTCCTGTCAACCACAACACAAATGAAAAAGTAGAGTGTGTTTATATTTAAAAAGCACTGCTTAGGGGGAAATACAATCTGGTTCAAATCTGTTACTGGATAAATAGTAAGTTAGGCTTTACTCATGGGATCAACACAGCTTGGTTGATACCCAAGTGGTCAGAAGTTACCTGTATAAAAATCTAAGTCCCCAGTATGACTATATCACGTTTGTAAAATATCTGTTCATAACTGCCCTCATTCTCTGAATTCACCCACTAAATGCAGCCTTTCACAATGTATTATTCTTGCCACTTTGTTTCAAGAAGGACAGAGGCTGCAGGAAAAGCTGAATCCTTTGCTCATGTGGCTTAAGGTTTCTTCTCCCATTTTTAAAGACAAGACATGCGCCAAAGCCCCCAAAAGGTGGTCTGACAGAGTAGGCCAGTTAACTTACACACACTTAATACTGCCTGTTTAAATTTAAGCACCCAAATAAAGCTATTAGGTAGGACAATATGCATTCAGTATCTTATAGGGCCGTATGCCAGGGGAGGAACGTGGAATAAGAACCAAACAGGTGCAAAAACAACCAAAGAGAGAAGATGATCACATTCCTAACAGAATCGCATCGTCAAATCAATACTGGTGTACGATCACCGGGCTATTTCGTGTTGGCCGCTGGTTTATACCGAAGTGCGAAAGAACAGTTTAGCAATATACACAGCACGTTTCCTCAGACGGATTCCCAGAACCTGTTGGCGAGTCCCCCTTCCCAATATCGAGCGCCGATATCCTCTCCTACAAGCTTCTTCAGCACGCCACGACCGTGCCTTCGCGCGAACCCGGGACGGCGTGCAGGACGCTGCCGGGGCAGAGCGGCCCGCGCGGCCCTGGCGCCGCCCGAGGCAGTGCGGTGCTCGGCGCCCGAGCTGCGGCAGCGCGGGCCCGCCCGGCCCCTCACGCAGCCGCTGCCGCCGGGCGCGCGCGAGGACTGCGGGCAGCGGGGCCCGGCCGCGCCCCCGATCCCGCCCGGCCCGGCTGAGAGGGGTCCCCGCCCGCCGCCAAGATGGCCGAGCGCCAGCACCACAATGCAGCCACCTTGCCGGGCGGTGGGAGGCTGCGGTGCGGTAACCAGCCGCTGAGGTGGGGGACTCTCCCCAGAACGACCGCGCTGGGCCGCGCTGCGGCCCGGAGCAACAGGGCGCGGCGACCCCAGGGCCGGGGAGCAGAACCTGCCGGTGGCGCGGACCGAGCCCGCGGACTCCCGCCGAGCCCAAGGACCCTCATCGCCCACCCGGCGTGGAGGGCAAGATGGAGCCTCCCCAGCGCACCCGCGGGGCGCAGCGGCCCGCGGAGCCTGGAGCAGAAGCTGCCGCTCTCCTGACCACGCCGCACCCGCTGTTCCGTCGATACCTGCACAAGTACGGATGGCTTCGTGTCGGTAAGACTCTGTCGTCAGCTCAGTGCGGGATCGAGATGCTGCGGGGTGGACGCTGCGGCGGCGGGTGCCGGGCTGCGCACGGCCGATACTCCGCGCTCTCCTCACTATCTCCCTCTAGCTCCCACTCCTATTTAAGCAGTCGCCACCTCCAGCGGCCACGCCACATGGGCTGACAGTTTACGCCTCGCCGCAGTCCAATGAGAGCCGGGGCAGGGCCGCCCCGGTCAGACCCGGGGTGATGCCAACCTCTGCCCGCCGGAGCCGCTCCACGGGAGGAGGGGGCCCTGGCCAGGCCGGGGCGGACACAGGCGGGCCTCCTTGCCCGCGGCACCGGGCCAAGCTCTCAGCGCCCCGCCCCGTACTGGAGGCCGTAGAGGGCTAGGCGCTGCCTGGCTTTGGCCTGGCCCGGCCGGGGACGGGGCAGCGCCGACCCCCCGTGGGCGCGGACCTTGTCGTGTCCCTCTCCCACCTCCCCGCGGGTAGGTACACTGTGGGGCGTACGACCGCGCCGTGCCGGCACCGTGGCTCGGCGACTGAGGCGAGGGCTCGGCGGGCGCCGGTCCAAGCGCGGTCGGGTCGCGCAGCGCCCGCGCGCACCCGTGGCGCACAAAGGGAAAGGACGCGGGGCCGGACGCGCAATCCCGGGACGGCACCCAATGTGAAGGCGGGGGCCCGTGGGCGGGGGCGCGGCCCTGCCAATCGCGGCGCCCGCGCGGTGTTGCTAAGCGATAAGGCGATGTGGTGACGGCTGGGGGGCGGCTGGGGCCGCCGGCAGAGCGAGCAGCGCCCGTCGCTCTCCGGCGGCGGCGGTCGTTCACCCCGGCGGAGCGCGGTCCCGGGGTTACCACAGGGCACCAGGCACGCCGGCCAGGGATGCGCTGCCCCGTGCCCGGGCCCGTCGCGCCGCCCTGACTGGCGGCAGGAGAGCGAGTCCGGAGGCGGGGGGCGGGCGTCAGAGGTTCCCTCCCCGCCGTGCCCCTGCTACGCCCCCCTTCCCACCGGAACGGGGCGGATCGCTGTGCGTGCGGGCACCTCTCATCCACTTTTCCTGTAACTTGCACTCCTTTAGTTAAACCCGAACAGTAACGAATCTGAATTTCCTTCTGTATTGCCTACGACTGCCTCTCCGAAACAAAAAAGCCTTTCGGTCGGCAAATGTGGGCTTGAACACGGGGATGCAAGAAAGTCCCCCGCCTTGTCTCTCCTTCCTGGCTCTGTGGGCAGAGGCCCCGCTCCCGGGTGGCGCTGGCACTGCCGCTTCGCAATGCAGCTCCACTGAGACCTTCTCCGGGCAGACTTTTTGCCTTTATCTATGTAGTCCTCAACATAACAGGTTTTTAACCCTTTGATAAGGACAACAATAAATAATGTCCTCTTTTACCTTTTCAGTACTCTGTGACCTGCCTGAATTATCTTCTTTGTAGGAATTTCTTTCTTTGTACAATTCAATAGTATCCACAGTAGTACCTTGCTGCCACTCTTCTAATCTGCTTCTTAGAAATCACTGCCCAGTTTGTTAAATATTTTGGTCATAAGAGAAATGCATGAGGATTTTCCTGCTGTATTTAGTACATCCTTAACACAACCGACCCAAGCAATATTATTTATTTATTGCAAATATTATTGTCCATATTATTATCATGCAAATTTTCTTAATTTTCATACTTACACACTATGTACTCAGAAGTACTCTGAAACAAATGTACAATAACTGAACTACTTTTTTTTCTACCACAAGTAAAATAAAATTAAACAACCCAGATATCATCTTTTCTTACCTGCAGTTGACTTAAGGAAACCTGTTTCTCAGGGAAACTGAATAAATTAAAGCTGCGTTACTGGCAAGAGGTCTGCATGAACAGGCACGCCAGTTGACATGGGAGGGGGAGTAAGTGGGACACCACACCAATAAACCACAAAAAAACCCCCCAAAAAAGCAAACAAAAAAAAAAAAGCCATAGAAACCTGCATACAAACCTACACAAAGGCATTTCTGAAGTCTGCAGCCCATCAGCTTACACCCACAGTGTAAGGAATAAAGAGAAATGTTTTCCACGTTCAGATGCAGTATTACAAATATCATGGAACAAACTGCTCTTTTATGCTGCTTTTAACACATGCACAGAATCTCATACCACCGAACTACTGTGAATCTCCATAGGTCAATATTAAACATATAAATAACAAAAAAATTTTCACGATGATCTACAGCTATTATAAAATCTGGAATTTACACACAGAGTTCTAGAAGTAACCAGTGAGTGCTTTAACTGGTGTGATCTGGGCCAAAATTCCTGTAGTTGTTAGAAACCACTATGCTTTGTGCTACAGAAAGAACTCATTCAGGGCCTGGTTCAAGGGAGTGCATCATGTTGTCCTGGCTCATGAACAATGTTGAATCAAATGACAGGATTTTCAAGTAATGAAAATGTTTAGAAAGAAGCTCACAAGGTCTCTCAGGCCTTACATTGGCTTAGGAACATCTCATGAAATTTCTTGCAGATTTAGCATCTGATTATAATATCATTGCACATTTACACGAAAGCAAAATATTTTCAGCAGGTAGTACAAAATAATTACTCAAATTCTCAAATGGATTACTACCACTCTGTCAGGTGCTGAAGAGAACACGTCTTTGCAAAGAGTATCAGGCAAGCATTTCTATAAAAAAAACGCTCCACAAAAATAAGACACTCATGGATAAGTAGCTCTCTTCCTTCGTTTAATCTTTTTAGATTTTATATATTTAGCAGCAACTGGTAAGTATTATTCACTTCAGTGATACCACTTGCAGAATCACAGAATCTCTTAGATTGGAAGGTACCTCTTGACATCACTTAGTCCAAGCCCTCAGCTCCAGGGTCAGCTGGAACAGTCTGGCCAGGCCCACGTCCAGTTGGGTTTTGAGTATCTCCATAGCCAGAGACTCCATAACTCCTCCGGGCAATCTGTTCCAGTGCTTGACCATCCCCACAATTAGAAGTTTTTTATTGAATTTTTCATGTGCATTTCCTTTACTTATAGGAAAGTTCATCTCTGTAATATCTCAGGACAGGTCAGCATTATTGGAAATGCTACAAAAATACACTGATTACTTTTATTAGTGTCCTGGCACGATCATTACTACATAGCTAGCCTTTCTTACATCACAACTTGTTCAAGTTTTCTTTTAGTTTCATCTGTTTTAAGACTTACTTCTTCCATCATGTCTCTATTATTATGAATATATGGTTCTAACATTGTAGCAGTGTTTCTCACTGCTTTGAAGTCCATACAATCTCTTGTCAAGGGAAAATACAATCACTGGTGTGACCATAGAAATTTAATTTTATATTCTTTCATGCTCTCTGAACAAGTCGAAAGAGCTACAGAAGATGAGAAATAAGACAGACTCAGATGCAATCTTTTTAAACCCCTTTCTATCAAGTAGAAAGATAGCTGCACAGGATTAACGGTTGCATTGTTATTTAGAAGACAAGTAGGTTGAGGCATCCCACTTCTAAGCTTAAATCACATCTACAGTTTCTCAACAAAACATCTGCTGGAGTCCTGCAAGTCCTGCCTGAAGGCACAAGGCTTTGCCTATGTTTTAACTGAGCATTTCTAAATCCATGACGCAAGAAAATCTTAACATATATAATTAAAATAAATCAGTATTAACAGTGAAGACTGTAACCTCATAATGTGCACAGATTAACCCTTTATTTTAGGCTTCACTATATGAAACAGGGTATTTGTTCTCTCTTCTGGCTGCAGATATCTCAACCTGACATACAAAACTGAGGCTGATAATTAGACCTGATGTGGAGATGTTAAAGTAAGTTAATAGCAAGTGTCAACCTACAACATGCTGACAACATAGAAATCAGTCTTTAATATTATAATTGCGGATTTTTGCCATGCTAGAAGAAATTTTTGGTTTTAATAGATGAGCACAAGATAAACTCCTGGATTTTAACTTCTGCTGAACTTCCAGCCTTGTTCCTTTGACTGTCAAATCTTCAGCTGATGTTTCAAGTTTATCCTTGGTTTTGACATTTTGCTGAGATTCTTCAGATTGCTTGATTGAATGTACAACTTCAAACTCCCCTGCTCAAAAAACAGACAGAAAATTACTTTGTAGTTTTGTTTGTATTCAATTACGAGATTGGATAGTTGAAGAGAGCTGATTTACTCTTTTCCTCTAAATATACTGCTGCCATAGTGCCACATTGTCAAAATCTTATATTACCAGGACCATTTCTGTACATAGGAACCCAGCACAGTCCATTAAGGCTTGCCATACTGATGGTATAACATAGTATCTTCTGCTCAATCCTCACTTCATCTGTACATGTTCCTTCTCCATTAGCATCAGACTGCTTAAGAGAGGAAGAGAGCTGGAAGGTCAGTGCAACAGCTCAAGTCAAGCACTACCTATCTGTTTAGCTGTTTTAAAACGTCATATTTTAAAAGTTTACCCTTCTCTCCATTTTGAGAAAATGTGTTTGGATATGCATGATATAAAAGACTCAGAGGTAATTCTGTTGGCTTGACAAAGCTGCATTACTGCCATTATCTTTTGGGTGTTTTTTCAATCTTCTTTCACTTAGGAAAGCATTTAGTATGTACATCTTTGGTTTTGTTATCTAAAATATCTGTCTTTACAGTAAGGACTAGCTCAAAAAGAAACATCTTTGTTTAGGAAGCAGTGGGACTGGTCCTAATACCAGTCAGAGTCCATCCTGCAGTTCTCACATAATTCTCCAAAAACTATTATCTCCAGCTAACTGAACTTCAGTCTTATCACAGGTTTCTTTAGGTAAGATAAGTGGAACTGTTCAATTGCATTATTCACTGTAAACTATAGGTACTATTTACAGGTGTTTGACTCCAGCCACTTAACCCTTATTTTTCAAGGCATTGAGACTTTAACTTCAGATTTTCTATGGAGAGCCAAAGTGGACAGAAGTAGTCATAATAAACCTGTGATGACACACACTACAGTATTCTGTGCTAGTATAATTTTATAAGCATCATGGTCTGCAGTCCCAGATACTACTCAATCACAGCAAGAATAAAAGGTGCATAAAATGACAAAGATCAGTTACTAGTAGGAGAAGGTAAATTTTCAAAGTCCATTGAACATGGTAGAAAGTCTAAACAAAATTCTACATCAAAGGAATTACAACATATTCCTGATCTATGGGATGAATTGATCAATTGAAGGTTTACAGCTCTATGCAAAGCATGACACTGTGGCTAATGTCAAAACATGACACTTTTCAAAATAATTTTTATACACTGGCTTAGCTTGAACCAGCTGTTCACTCGTGTGTGTGATCTCTGCACTGAATCAGCTTGGTGACAAAAGCTCAGTGGACTCTTGAGCTGTGGATGTGAAATCCTGTTGTCCAGCTTGCCACCTAGTGGTTTCCTACAGATGAAGAAGGTATGGAAGAGGATGCTTGAGCCCATGAAGATCGTTGGGTGTATTTTCCTGCATGGGAAATGGACTTTAATCATTAGAATACCTCTCCCACATCTGGCAGATAAGAAAGCAGAATTTCACAACATCAACCATTTAGAAAAGTGCAGGCAGCAGTGTCTGAAAGGTATTGCTTCAAAGATTACTGTCTTGAACAGGAACAGCAGCAGAGTAATACTACTTCTTGTTTGTGGTCTGAATAACAGGAATGAGGAGATCCAGTGCTCCATAGCACACAGTTAACACTGCTTACAGACAGTCTGTTTTTTGAAATACTCAATTTTCAAGGGCCTTTTGTATTCACCCAGGGGGATGACTTTCAGAAATTAATGTGGCAGGCCCTAATTGTGTAATTCCAAAGGCAAAGTAACCAAGCACCAATGCATGACATGCATCCACCCCTTCCTGTGAAGACTTCTGTATGCATGTCTCCTGTCATTAGTAGAGAAACTATAGTTGTAACTAGTAAAGGCTACTTAGTTAGGTATTTGGAACAACAGCACAGAACACAAGCATTCTACATGGCTATTTTTACGTTTTGGACCGTCAAAAATGTGTACTAACACAGAAATTTAAAATCAACCACTGCAAACTTGCAAGGTTAGTTCCAAAAATTAGGAAAATATAAAGAATCAATACCCCAGAATTAGAAATGCTTTTAAAATGCTGTAGCTTAGTTTGCACACCAACGAAAAAACACACCTAATTTACAATCCTTCAACTTACATTCAGAAGTGACCACAGCTAGCAAGATCATAGCTAAGCACCTAAACTGCTTTTGAAAATGGAACTAAATGTTTAGTGTATTGAAATGTTTAACATATCTTCCATTTGATGTGTGCTAACTTCAGTCAGAAATGAATGAACATTCATAGATTTTTTTTTTTTCCCTCAGGATAAAAGAGATATATGCAGACATGTTGTATAGGCAAACTGAAATTTCCTCAGATGGGAGTTTCATTTAAGAAATTTTTCACTAGATATTTGCTTATGGCTAACAGTGCTCCTGAAGGAACACCAACTCAAACAAGTTCCTATTCAGGAGAAGAACATAGAAAGGAAGAAAATGTAGCTAGGGCATTAGTTAATATTTGTGAAACACTTCAAAGATGAAGTTTTACGTAACACAGAAAAGAGATCATGAGTTTTTCTCTGATTGGACCTGGAATGAAGCCAGAGCCAGAGCACTGTTTCTGTTTGTTAATATTTTACCAGATTCTTTCTCTGGCCAGCTTTTTACCCACATGGATTGCTCTTAGAACTGTCAGTGATGTCAAAGCTGTTGAAATTCTGTCTAGTGTGGAAACACTTAAGATAACTTTTGATCCATGAAGTGTGGAATTTCAGACGACAGAGCTTTGCAAGCTACAGTGAGAATTACAGTACAAGAAACTCCCCTATCTAAGCTCAAGTAGTAAATAAAAAAAGTTACTTTACCTCAAAGCAGCTCACTCCTGTTCTTTGTTAGGCTAAAATGTAAATCCAAATTATTAAACTGAGGACAGGGTTCTGAATACTTGTGGTGGTGGGGTTTCTCAAAAATGTATTGTGGGATGTGAAAATACAACGATTCATCTACACTAAATATGTATAAGTCGAATGACTAGTGAGGACCCAGCTTGCCTTACGCCCTTACTCCCCCTACAGTGCCCCCAGCCTCTGCTAACCCAAGGATAGCTGACCGGAGCTGATAAGGAGCATTTCACACAGTACCACACAGAACCCTTCACAGTACTGGCTTCATGCTAAATGCAGTATTACAGCTGAACTTCAATAGGTGATGTTTGCTTTTTTCCCCCTCTGAAAAAACTAGTAAGTATCTTCAATAGCAAATAGCAAGTTTATAAAAATAAATAGAAGAAAATAAATCTCCATTTTCTAAATGTTTTACAAATCTTCCCCTCCTCCTGCCTAACATTCACTCTAAAATCAAAAAAGGCTCTACTTTCCTTTGAGGGTGGCTTGTCATGAGCATTCAAGGTGCATATGTTGTGGATCACCAATCAAAATCTCCATCTGCTCTCAACCTCGGGGATAGAGCATTTAAAAAATAAAGAAATACAAAGGTGTATTTCTTATTTGTACAGCCTGTGCATCCTATGTAGCCTTTTAATATCATCAGGGCTTGTACCTGTCTATCTCTAAGAGGTTCTTTTTCTTTCAATAATACAGAACCATAAAAAGACCTGAAGAAGGGACCTATGATCCTTCTAAACGTCTTCCTTCTACTTATCTGCAGAATTAACATGCAAGCTATGAAATCCATCTAATTTCTACAGTAAACTGAAAATTAGCAGGTAGAGTAAGGAGAGAGAAAATTAAAATAGCCTTTTGACTTGCTTGGAAGCTTACACAAGGTCTGAATTTGATGGTGAAATGAATAAAGTATATAACAGTCCACTTCAGTAATTAAGATGTAGTCATTAACTCTTCAAAACACATTTAGTCATTGCATTGTGTAATATATTGGAAATACAGCAAATTGCAGGGCTTACTTGACATGCCAACCATTTTGAGTGCCAGTAGGCTGTTTCTTACATGTAACATGAAAAAAATGAAACTGTTCAACAGGTTCAGAAAAATAATTTTCAAGAGACAATTCTGTTTCACCAGAAATTCCCACAAGACACATCTACTGCTGTTACCAATTTGGACAGAGTTGAACTTGGGAAAAAAAAAAAAAAAAGGATTGAATAAGCAAACTAACTTGTGTGCTTTGCTGCAAATCATTTTTTGCCACTGAGCTTCCAAGTCTCTGCATGCGTCACTTGTACCTGAAAGCCCAGTTCCAAGTCACTCTGTCTCAATGACAGTTCTATCCATTGTAGCAATGTATTTGACGAATTATATATTAAATTAAAGTGAGTGGTTTTAAACAGGAAAGATTGAATTAATTCCCATAGTTCAGGTCTGAAAAATAATACAAGCCTCTGCTAACAATCAGAAGCAGAATTTGAAAATTTTGTATACAATGCTTCTAAGGTGATGTTGTTCCAAAAAAAAGAAAGATTCTGCTTTCACTTTTTTTTTTTTTTCTGAAATACAGAATTCAGTCCAGTGGAATTTTCTGGAGGAGAAAGCTAAGCAGCAAAATAGAGTGTTTAAAAATCGTATTCTTGCAATGCAGTATTTCAGGGCCTGCATGTCTGAGTAAGAAGTTCCACTCTGGTGGATATAAATCTGGATGCAGAGATCAAATTAAACTTGGTTTTAGGAAAATATTATCCCTTATTGATTCACTTTAGCTTGTTCCACGTTGGCAGTATCCTCTGTCACTTTTGCTATTTCTAGATCCCCGAAAATCTACATTAAGTTTTGCAACAGTGGCTGGAAATTTCTAGACATTAAGAAACTGATGTCCTTGTAAGGCTGCCAGAGCTGTTGCACCACACATACAACAGCACGAAACTGCATGGCACTATCAGTAATGTTTCAAAGACATCCTTTTGCTTATCCTGTCAATATAGGCCTGGCCTGAAATGCTCTTCCTATTTCAGTCCTAGCCTCACAAAAAAAGCACGTGAATCATGAGTGTCAGCATGATGTCCATTCCAGTCCTACAGGTCTGTCAATGCACCTTACTTTGTCCCTGCAATGCACTGGTGTTGTGAATAAATACACTTATAATCCAGTCTTCATTTTGAAAGCCCTTTTAAGTATTATTTTTTCTTGTGAGCTACTAAAGATGGTTCATTGCCTCCATACACTGGTTTAAAAATAGATGTAACATAGGCTGGATAGGACCTGTGGGTGAAATGTCACAGTGCTTATCACTCCCTGCTCAGAATGTATCTTGACACAACTTGTGTCCCTTGCCACTTTTCACTGTGCATCTCTAAGAGTCTGGTTCTGTTTTCTCTAAAATCCCTCACCAGGTAGTTAAAAAGCACCAATGAGACCATTCACCTACTCTTTTCCACACTTGACAACCCAGTTCTCTAAACCTCTTCTTGTGTAATGTGTTCCCATGCCCCAGCCATTTAGTGGCTCTCCACTGGTCTCCAGTCTGTCACACTTTTGTACAAGAGGGTCCAAAGGTGGACACAGTGGCCTCACAAGTATCAAATTTAGGGGAACAAATCACTTCCCTTAATCCAGTGACTGCATTCTTGTTCCTGCAGTCTCTATGTGATTAATCACATATGAATATCTATGTAATGGTAATACAGCTCATTTGAAAAGTCTAAATGGCTGCCACATTGCTATACAGATACTGTCAGATTTCAGGAATAATGATGACGATGAAAATAACATCAAGGCAAAAAGCCCAATCAATTCACATAAGCCCTCCAGCATTTTGAGAAATAACTTATTGAAAGCTACACCTCTTTTTTAATAAAAACAAGCAAAACCCACTTTTACTGGAACATTCTGGAGAAATGTTTGCCTATTTATAATTATCTTCTATAAAGAAAAGTCTACAATCCCTCTAGGGAACATACTCCACTATTAGCTATCCCTAAAATTTTTCTGATATTATAATGTAAGTCCATTATTTTTTGTCCTACAGCAGGAGTTAGTTTCCCACAGTTTAGCCAATGAAGGATTACTTCATGAACAGACCAATAGTAATTGAAATATGTAACATTAAGCTGCAATACACTGCTCAACACAATAGCTGTCATTAAAAAGTTCCTTAACAACTTGCCCTGTAAAGAGGCTACACTTCACTGCACATATCTTACAAACGGTGTTCTCGCTAAAATTTCCAAGAACCTGTGGTGATTTTCGTAGAAGTGTAACACTAATTCATGTTCAGTCTATGACCTAGGTTTTACCTTCTCCTGTCATCCTAACCCTCACAGTGTCTCACATGTAACGACTCTTTCACATGTAAAAATTTGTGCCTGCTTCTATTTGTTTCCTATCCCAACTTGTTGCAGTGGACTATAAAATTCTAGGGAATCCCCATAGCATATACTACCATTATGCCCGTGATGTCACCTTTGGCTTTTAGGTCTTAGCGCTCTAGGCAGTACTGTAGCTATAAACCAGACAAAAACCCACTAATTAAGCAAGGATTTACAAATTACAATTTGATCTAAGAGTCACTCGTCAGCACATGAAGTGTACAGTTCTCAAACAGACACATTTATATCTGCCCCTATCTGCCCCAGCTAAGTTTTAGACTACATCAAAACTGAAGTTGCATTTTACAGGAGTACTTAATAAAAGTGAAGAAGTATTTGCAATGAAGGCATTTAAACCAGACAGCTATACAGACATTCCTCTTTATTCTTACTTCTGCTGGCAACCAAGAAATTCCCTTCAAGTAACTCATTCAGATTCTGATCATAGGACTGTGACAAGAGGAGCAGTATGTAAAAGAATGATGACAGAACAGACCGTAATTCCACACTTCCGGAAGAGTCAAATATTGTGACTGCTTTACAAAGCAGGCTTACCCTGGCTGCTGTTCTTTCGAGGACTGAGTAGAGAAAGGCTTGATCCCGTATCTAAAATTTGACAGAAAGTATGCGGTCTAGATGAAGAAAGCTGAACCTGCTGGACATGACTAGGACTCTGACTGAGCAGCTGAGTTTGAACAATCTTTGTGGATGTATCTGCCTTTGTTGCTGAGAATGTATCTGGCCCATGATTTTCAATAGAGAAATCTATCCAAACCTGTTCAAATTCAAACACAATCTTACAGACATACATACTTTTCACATCAAACACATCAGAAAATTGGTTACATTTCATAGTGGCATCTTGGACTTGGAAAGAAAGAGGGTTTTGGCAAGAGGCAAGACAAAAGAGAATTATTATTTTTAATTTTGAAAGGTTGTACAAGAAGATTAATTACAACATCATGACAGTGATTGAGAAACCCTAGTTTATTTAGTGTTAACAAATACTATTTTATACAGGAACAATGCATAATTTAAAAAAGACATAGGTTTTTAAGTCTTTGAGGAGATGACTGTTGAGCAATTCAAACTGAAAAAGCCAAATGAAGGTGAGTTACATTGATCATAAAACTGCACTGTACCTCATTGGATGGTAATTCTGTTTCTTCTCCACAGCTGCTTGGAGCTTCTTCTTCCTTTAAGCTAGGGCAGGCAGTAAGAGAAGAGAACCTTGAAGGATGCTCTTGCCTTGTGCACTGCAGCTCCTAATTTGAAATATTACATTAATACAAGTAACTCATGGTCCCTAAAATTAACACCCTTATAGCTCAGTTTGCTGTTACACTGCTAGATTTAAAATAATCAGTTATAAATAATATTCAACAAAATTATGTTCTCTTCAGATCAAGGGGGTCAAACTACCTTTATAACAAATATCTACATTTCCTGGTGCTGTTACTATCACCTTGCTTGTTGCTCAAGCTTATATCGTCAGGGTCCTTCTTCACTTTCGTATTCTCCTGTGATTAAATTACAGAAGAAAAACTCCAAAACAATACCTAAAACCCCAACTAAAATAAAGCAGCTATGGAAAAGTATATCATCAGCAGCCAAAATAAACTAATTTACCTCTCAAAGTTTCACCAACTTTCAACTTGTAGCAACTAAAGTGAGATTTGATGAAAAGCAAACTGCTTCAGCCCTGTCAAAGGAGATGCAAATAAACACTGAAGTCTTTAGCTATATATTTAAGACTAAAGAAACACAATGTAAGCCCATTATGTAAAGTAATTGACAGTAAAATTCCTGTAGCTTTGACAGTAATAAATTATCTTGGTTTTTTGTAAGGATGAAGATCTTGGAATGCAGGAGCAAAAGTAGCCTGGCCAGTAAGAGGATCACATAGAATAAAAACACCCAAACTAGCATAATAGTAGTCTTTGGAAAGTCAGCCTGAAGCTCAGCTTTTGTGTAGGAGCTGAAGCCTCAGCAGACATATTCTGAGTAAAGAGCAGCCTGGAATGAGAGTATGGAACAGCTTGGATGTAAGAAGGGCTATCCTTTCTAGTCTAGACAAATGATAAACCCAAAGGTTCCAGAGGTGGAAAGATCCTCAATGACAGCCACTTCAGCCATGACCTCCAAGCAACCCATCAGCTGAAGAGGTTGAACTACTACTCCCAGAGTTTAGCTCACCATCTGGAAACTCACAGTCAAATTCTACCTCTCCAAGTGCCATAGTCATACTATATTTTAAAAATCTATTTATTCTTACAAAAGCAAGAATCATATTTAAAGATTTTTAACAGAACATGGGAGACATGAGATATGTAGAAAAACACAAACACAGTATCTTGCTCATTAAAAATAAGGCAAGAGAAGACTGGGATGGATGGATATGAATATTCATTGGTCTTAATTTGAAAGTCAGCAAAGTTCTAAGGTGAGCTATGAAAGAAGGAATAATTAAAGAGGTGGAAAAGGAAAAAAAAAAAAAAGTAGTTTTGAATTTTGGTAATTTTGCCCAGATCTCAAAGTCACTTTTATGTATGTTTGGTATAAGCATTTAGCTAATCTTTTTCAGACCTCAATCCCAGCAGTGCAGAGATGAAACATGCAGGTTACAAGAGGTCTCCTCAACTGGTTTGCTGAACCCTAATTTCCTTTGTAAAAATTATTTCCAGTGTTACTGTTTAATAAACAGGTTGCTATTTCTGAAACAGAGAACTGAAAGTTCAAGTGAACAAAGGATGCCAAGCTTGTGACTTTAGGTTAATGAGAGTATCACAAGCATACAGAAAAAAATATATATCCACAAGCATGCTGAGGCATTCCACAAAATAGGAAACAGCCAAAAAGATGATCAGTGAATTGGAACATCTGATGTAGAAGAAGAGTTTGGGGCAGCTGGCCTGGCAGGCCTCCAGAAGAGAAAGATCAATCTTTTCAACATGTATAAGCATCTGATGAGGATGTTATAAGGAGATAAAGATGACTGAGTTGGAGTCATCTCACTGGTATACAGTGGAAGACCAGGTGACAACGAGCAAAGAAGTAAGTACAGGACACCTTGCTTAAGTATAAGGGGACAGAAAACCCCAACCAAATGACAGCCCTCTTTATTGCGAGGGTGTCCAAACCCTGGAACAACTTGCCCAGAGTGGTGACGTGTTGAGTCAGGGACGGGAAGAAGACTCCAGTCTTCAGGTGGATCAGAAGGTAAAAAGTGTTTAATCACAGTAGCAGGTCTTTTTATAATGTGAATCGCTAAGGTGATACTTGATTGGTCTTAAAGTAGAAACATCTCACATTATTGGTGTACTATGAATGCACACTCTGGAGAACTACATTTATAAACAACGGTTACGGAAAGAGAGATAATAATTGTTTTAATTCTTTCAAGATTCTCAGGCTCAGCCTGGGAAAAATTATCTCTGTTCTTTCTTTGACTGAACTGAGAATATCCACAGAGTGGTTCCCAGAGGAAGTGTTTCCCCAGCTAAACTTGGTTAATAATTCTTCTGTTGTCCTCAGAGCAACAACCTCACCCTTTCTAAAAGAATACTGTTTACTGCCTTCAAAACTACAACAACAATCAACTGCTCTGACTCAATCCCCACAGGAACAAATCTGCTGATCAATTAAGTAAAGTACACAGTGAAATCCTGACTATCGAAGTTACTGGGAGGTCTGCCACTAACTACTAGGGAAGCCAGGATTCATTCATTGGTCTCTCTGATAAAAGCTGCAATTTAACTATTAAAGGTTGCATTTCAATTACAAAATACATGAGACAGATTAACTATATATCCTGCTTTTTTATATGGAAAAGGTGCTATTACAGTCATTTGGACATGGGTGCTTTAAAATCCCACCACTGTGAGTATTTGGAAATACACTCACTGATTAATAATTTTAAAGTTTATATTAGAACATAGTGCGAATCCTTCAAACAGCCTTTCTTGCTTAGTTAAAACTAAGCCTTATGGAATTTGTAATTTAGGATTGCATTTACACTGCATAAATACATGTGTTTCTGAAATACCTTGGTTGAAGATCATGTTTAAAAATATTACTTTTGAAGTCCCAAACCCTTTAAACTTATGGGGAACCATCTGGCTTGTGGCCAGTCACTAATGGTGTTTGCCAAGGCTCAATTTCTGGGTCATCTTTGATCAATGACCTGGACACATGAGTTGAGTGTGCACTAGGTTGGCTGATGATACTAAATGAGAAAGACTCATTGATTCCCTTCTGGGTAGAGAGACCTTACAAAGAGATCTCGATAGACTGGAATGCTTGGCAATCACCAACTGCATGAAATATAATGAGAGCAAAAAAGCTGGATTCTGTACCTGGGACTATAGGCATGGATGTCTGTATACATTTGAGGGACAAGACGCTGAAGTGCAGCCCTGAAGAAAGGGTCTGGGGCTTTTGATTGTTGGCAAGTTCAGCAAGAGTCAACAGTGTATCCTGGTGGCCAGGAGTGCCAGCTGTGTCCTCAGTGTGTTAAACACAGCACAGCTAGCCGGCCAAAAGAAGTGAATGTCCCACTATGCTCGGCACTGACATGGCTTTACCTCAAGTACTGTGTGCATTTTTGAGCTCCACAATATGAGAAGAATATATAAATATTAGAAAAAAGTCCAAAGGAGGGCAACAAAGATGGTGAAAAGATTAGATGGCTAGATTTAAGAGGAGTGGCTGAGGATACTTGGCTTCTTCAGCTTACAAAAGAGGAGGCTGGCAGATGACCTCACTGCTCTCTATAACTTCCTTCCATGATGGGGAAGAAGAGTAGGAAGTGCTGGTTTTTGATTTTGCTGTCCGGTGATAGGATGTGGAGGAATGGCTTAAATCTGCATCAGGGAAAATTCAGACAATTCAGACAATTCTTCCCTGAGAGGGTGGCCAAGCAGTGGAACAATCTCCCCAGGGTGTGGTCATGGCCCTAAGCCTTTCTGTGTTGAAAAAACATTTGGGACAATGCCTCTAACTTAAATGGTTTAACTTCTAGGTTGTCCTGTGTGACATCAGGATGCAAAGATCCTCATGGGTTCCTTCCAGCTCCAGATATGCAATGATTCTATGGAATCTTCCAAAGATAGATTTGAGCTAAACTCAGTCAGAGTAATTGAAATGCAAAATTTTAGGTTATATTCGTGGAATTAGAACTGGCTTAATGGCTTATTATGACTAAATTTCAAACAGCATATAATTACCTGTGTTGTGAGTCTGTGCTGTAGATGCTTTAGAACTGATAGCTGACACTGTGTTCTTTCGACAAGTTCTCTTGGAAGAAGACTATCAGAGGCAATACAAACTGTGCAGTGTTTAGAGCTAACAGGATGCCAGACTCCTGTAAAGGAGAAAATATACTAAGGAAGGCATTCTTTGTTGATATTTTGTCAACCATATTGCATTTCTAGCAAGTGTTTACAGCAGATAATAAATGAACCACAGAACACAGGCCTTCTCATTGCAAATGGTTTCAAGGCAATTCAGAAATGGGCCTCGTGCTTTTTTCCCTTTATTTCATTGCCAGAAAGACTATGCATGGAACTTAGATATCCACAGTGAAATCTTTTTACATTATATATACTCTTAATTCAAGTTTACAGTAAACTTATTCTGCTTTCTCTTCCACTTTCCTAAAGTGTTAGTTTTTATTCCAAGAGGTACACTACCTCTTTTATGCTCATAAACAAAGTCTTAAAGTAAAGTTCAAGTTCCCACACGGACATCTAGGCACCAGGGAGTCATCTAAGATGACTCTAAGAGTCTTCTTCATCTAAGATGTTTATCAGCAAAAGTCACTACATAGACTCTTGTTTGATCTTAGCATCTCCTATCACAGGATAATCTTACTTGCAAGGATTAGTACCACAGTCTCACATGAGCTATGCAGATCAAGAATCAGTCAGGTCCAGCACCTTTTTTTATAATGAAGCCTAGCTTTCTCCAGCTCAAAGGATGAACTGATTCCTTGTCCATTTTATTCTAAATATATAAGCTAGCACTTTTCTTTAGAATAAATTTACCTTTCTTTAACACCATTCCAAGTTCTGCCCTGAGTCTATTTCCCATTTCAATCAGCTGCCTCTTTTCTTGGTTCAGAATTGAAATTTTTCTTGCTGCTTCCTTGAGTTTATTTTGCATTCCTCGTAGAGTGTGTTTGACACTATACTGACAACCAACACCAGTACCTACATCAGGTAGCTGTTGTCCAAAAGCAACCATGTTTTCTTCAAGAACTTTGGGTTCTGGCCCCTAAATAAAACAGACAGTGCTTATAATGAATATTTTGAAAGTGAGGTCTGCAGGTTCAGGGATTTGTACAAATACGCATGAGAGGTCAGTTGAAGAAAAAGTGTAAAATTGAAGGCTACAGTCCATTTTTTAGGGCACATTTTCAAGATTTTTTAGCAGTATAGGGCAAATTAAACTGTGGAGCAAAACACTGTAACAGCTCAAGACATTCCCCCAGATATTGTCAACTGTAAGTGTAAAATAATACACATAGCATAAACACTGTATAACTGTAAACCAAAGATCACTTAATTTCAAGATAAAATGTGGAAAAAAGCTCTTTATACCAAATAGCAATCTGCTACAAATCCTTCTTTGTTTAATCATTGTGTACATTGTTTAATGATTTGTACATGCAAACAAAAGGGGTAGATATAACTTAAAACATTTACTGAAAAGGAAAGATTCTACAATCTGTTTTGTCTCTTGCTTCCTGAGTCCACCTGTACATATACATAATGGTAAGGTATATACCCAAAAGATTGCATCCTTGTTTTTCAAGACCTATATACTGTCTTCTTTCAGTCCCCACAGAGGAGACTTTTTGATAGCCATTTAAATAGTCATCATTCACTGAACAGTCATCTCCCTGTAAACATTTTACATTTCACACATTGCCACAAGTATCTAAGTGTATCACATGCATTAAAATTGTTTTACAATTATTCATTGGTATGTTTACTCTTTTACATATAAACTAGTTAGAAACATCCTACACTAACTGTTTACAGTGATTACACAATCAGTTTTCAACTAAATCACCCTAAACACTATGATCCAAGGAGTACACATTGAAAGCTATTATCCATACTGAGAAAAAACCAAACCATTGTTGCCTTATTGTGCCATGCAACTCCCATGCTCTTATTTCTTTGGATAGTTTTACTATTAAAAAGAAGGCTCTTGAGAACTTACAGGGAAAGCATGCAGGCCTACAAAGAGTATGGGGGAGAAAGGTAGAGAAATTAGTGCAGGACTAGAGTCTGAAAATACTAAGACACCAAAGTGAAAATGAACAGCACTTTGACACACATCTAGCAGTTTGTATAAAAGCAAGTAACACAAGTAGCTGGGAGTGTGTGTTGATCTGTTGGAAGGTAGGAGGGCTCTGCAAAGAGACCTGGAATGGTTGGAAGGATGGGCAGAATCCAATAAAATGACATTTAATAAGTCCAAGTGCTGAGCCCTGCATTTGGCCACAATAACCCCTTGCAGTGTTCTAGGCTGGGGACAGTGTGGCTGCACAGTGCCCAGGCACAAAGGGACCTGGGGGTGCTGACAGCCAGCTGAACATGAGGCAGCAGTGTGCCCTGGTGGCCAAGAAGGCCAATGGCTCCTGGCCTGGATCAGGAATGGTGTGGCCAGCAGGAGCAGGGAGGTCATTCTGCCCCTGTGCTCAGCACTGGTGAGGGCACACCTCGAGTGCTGTGCCCAGCTCTGGCCCCTCAGTTTGGGAAGGACTTTGAGACACTGAGCACATCCAGAGGGGGCAACGAGGCTGGAGAGGGGCTGGGAACACAAACCCTGTGAGGGATGACTGGGGGAGCTGGGGGTGCTCACCTGGAGAAAAGGAGACTCAGGGGTGACCTTATCACTCTACAACTCCCTGAAGGGTGGTTGTAGTCTGGTGGGGTTAGGCTCTTTCTCTAGGCAGCAGCTGACAGAACCAGAGGACACAGTCTCAAGCTGTGCCAAAGGAAATATAGGTTGGATATTAGGAAAAAATTTTTTACAGAAGGGGTGATAAAGTTCTGGAATGGCTGCCTGGGGAGGTGGTGCAGTCACCATCCCTGGGTGTGTTTAACAAAGCCTGGATGTGGCACTCGGTGCTAGGGTTTAGGTGAGGTGTTAGGGCTGGGTAGGACTCAGTGATCTTGAAGGTTTCTTCCAACTCAGTGATTCTGTGTGATTGTGTGCGTGTGAAATTATTACAATCTACCTTCGTTGGTGAAACTGCCATTCTAAAGCTTAACATAAAGTGAGCTGAAGGCAATGACCAATCACTGGTTGTCACACTGTGGACCACCTTCACTGGATCAAAAGACAAAAGCACATCACCTGGCTGGGGCAAGGAATGCAATTTGCATAAACTTTTATTTTTCCTGAACTTTTCAGAAAAACATTCCACAGCATTGCACAGAAGATTCTTTTTTTTCAGGTGACAAGCTGAATTAAGCTGTGGAATTAGGAGTAGAATTAGGAACTCAGAAATCTTTTTACCTTTAGATCTATGTCCAGAGCAAAATTCTGCAGTACACAACAGAGAAAACACTGAAAAGATGGGTACTAAAGAAGAATAGAGGAAAAACTCTCCTCAGAGCTGATACAAAAGAAAAATAGAAAAATATATGTACAAGTTTACATTCTATTTTTACTAGTTTCCACAATAAACTTGCCTCTTCTTCTTTAGTGTTGGAGCCGATAATTTCCAGATTATGGTCACAGAAACTCTGTTATTTTAAATGGAAAAAAAGAAAACTATCACTATGGCTTTGCTTACTTACTTCACCTGCACCCCTATGTTTAGGCATTCAAAAAAAAAAAAAAGACTAAAATACGGATTTACAATGGAAAACCTGAATCAGTGATCCACAGTAGTTTAAGCATTTGCAAGTGGGAAAAAAAACCATCAAGACCAGCTTGCAAGATCAGAAGTGACTTGTGCCAAGGGATGACAAGTCAAAATTTATTGCCTAGAAAGAATAAGAGTAAGTTGGGCTAAAAAAATCTTTGCTGGCTGTCATCTGACCAATCACATAAGCACATATTACTTCAGTTTATAATATTTACTCAAACAAAAATAATAGACTAGGTATTTAATTACACACACACATACATACAGATATTTTTAAGTAGTTTAAACTCAACATACCTCTTCTGTGTCTGGGTTTACTATACAATCCAACTTAGTTGAACTGACTTTTATGTTGCTCAATGTGGTTCCAGTTGAAATTTTGTTTGTGCTCAATGAACCTAAAAGAGGAGTATAATATGAATGTATATGTATTTATAGAGAGTTTAGGCTTTCATAGCAAGAGCTGCATCAGAACACTGTCTCATGCATATAAATGTCTAGTTTGTCTAGTTACAGAATCATAAAACCATAGACTTAGGTTGGAAAAGACCTTTAAAATCATCAAGTGAAACCAGTGACCTAACACTACCAAGTCTTCCACTAAACCACGTCTTCAAATGTCCACACACATACATGCCTTTTAAACACCTCCAGGGATGGTGACTCAGCCATTTCCCCAGGCAGCCTGTGCCAATGCTTGAATAGGCCTTTTCAAAAAGAAAATTTTAATATTTAACTACTTAATATTTAATAATTTTTAAGATTTAATTTTTAAAAATATCCAATCTAAACCTCCTCTGGCATAACTTGATGTTATTTCTGTTGTCCTATTGCTTATTACTAGGAAACAGAGAGTGATCCCCACCTCATGACAACTCCCTTTCAGGTAGTTGTAGATAGTGGTAAGCTCCCCCTGAACCTCCTTTTGTACACCACTTCAGTAGATGTACTGTAAATGGACTGTAAACCCCCATGGCAGGGAGTTTGGTTTAGGAGATCTTTAAAGATCCCTTCCAATCCAAGCCATTCTGTGATTCTACATACTGGCTTCACTATCAGGAATTCTGTAATATACATATAATTGCTTTACTCTTGCAAAATATATACACGATTGCTTTTCTAGTGGTAATTTTGTAGTGACTTATAGTGTGTGCGTGTGTATTTCTTTTCACTAATAACTGTTTTATAGTAATTGGTAATACAGAATCTCAGGCTACTGTGTTCTTGTGTATGGTGCAATCAAATAACAATTTTTACACACTCATGGATTGGGTAGCCTTCATAGGTCATGACCGTGACTACTAAACTTTCTTAACTGAATTTAAAGTTCTTTGTCAAGAATTTCACCTTGCTCTGCAAGCTGTCTGTCTTCTGTTTGAGGAAGAGAAGATAACATCTGCTCATCAAGACTCTCCATTTCTTTCCTCATTTGTGCAATAGCAGCCCGAAGGCTGGCATTCTGTTCCTGCAGCTTTTTTATTTCCAAAGCAGGGATATATTTACACAGAGAACTTTCATCACCATGCTGAAATATCTGGAAAATAAAAGTACAAGACAAAAAGAACCCTTCATTAATAAGTGACACATATTCTCTCCACACCACCACACACAGAGATCCTAATACTGTCAACCCATGAACATATATGGGAGAAAAGTACCATGGGAGGAGAATAAATGTGTTTATTGAGGATTTGCCTGGGAAAGAAGTGCTGTACTGAGAACATCATAGGAGGAGGTGCACATGGGGAGGCCCATGGCACCGGAGCTAGCTCTGTTTTATAACTGTTGTTCTGCAGGTGTGGTTTATCTCTCTTCCATGTGCAGGTAAACCCTCCCCTTAAGGAACTTATGGGCTCAACAGCAGTCCCCTTTCTGACCTGTCATATTCTTGAAAGTGTCATTGGAGATCATTTGTTGACAATAACATTGTCTTGGTTTAAAAGAGAGATATTTCCCAAGGAAGATGGGAATGTCCCTGGAATGGAAAGACCACACCCTCCCTCCAAATTATTATGAATTCGAAATTGCGGGGCTTTCAGACAAAGACATATTAAAAAGAATAACAGTTCTTTACTAGACTCTCTCCCTCTCTCTCTCTCTCTCTCTAAGTATATATATATTATATATATATAAACACTAAACGAACAACAGCAAGGGCAAGAAGAAACACCACCAACAGCCTCGGCCCGCCCACCAAGCATTCCCCTTCGGTGTAGTTACGACGACAGCCGACAAGGGGCGCTGTAGGCTGCAGTGCCGGCCGCGGCCCCAGCTGCAGAGCGGCACCTCCGCGGCGATGGCAGCTGCGATGAGAGGAGGGAAGAAGGGCTGACTCCGCAGGCACCACGGCAGCAGTGATCGGCCTTGGGCATGGCTGACGGCAGCCGCTACACGCTGGAAGGGACGCAGGGCTTCACCGCGATCTCCCACTGCCGAAGAGGGAAGAGGTCCGGCGGACGTGCTGCTGGCACTTCGGGGGCGCTGCAAGCGGCGGTTCCGGAGGCGGCGGAGGGAACGGCTTCCCCGGGCAGCCGCGGGGACTGGGCTGGGCTCTCTCGGCGCTGGCAGCCCGCGATCCCAGCCAATGGAGCCGCCGGGACTCCCTTTCTCTCTTGCAAGCAACAGACTCGGAAGCCGGCGGCAGGCGGAGCTCCACGGCAGTGTAGAAGAACCGCTGCGCAGGAGAGGTCCAAGGCGAAGAGAAACCACACGACCGCCTCTGCTCCCAACAGGGCAAAGACTGCCCACCCCCACCTAAGAAACTGCCAGAATAACTCTGCCCCCTCCTCCGCTTCTCCCACTCCCCCAGAACCATTACAATGGTATGTCTCTGGATCGCTGTCCATTCACCATCTCCCTGACTACAAATGGGAAGAAAATTCCTGGGGAAAAAATAAAAACCAACCAACCAAAACCAAGCCAAACCAAAAACCTAACCCCAGGCAAACATAAAAAAGCTGGATGTCCTCTGCTAAGCCAAAAAAAGGGAAGGAGTGTGTGGACTACACCCACATAACCTGGACAATGGACAATATCTAGAACATATTACATTGATTGGAAAACGTTTCCTGGTCACTTGAAATTCCAGCACAATCTTCAGGAAAAAATACCTATGGGCAGGACTTATGGCATATAAAGACCAGAATATTAGGGTCCCAATATTATTTACTTTTGCTGTTTCTTCATTCTAAGTCTGTCTGCAAAGATTTTTAAATGTTTCGTTTGGTCAGTGGTAATGTATTATAACTGTGGTTTCATCCAAACAGAGAATAAACAATTTAGATTCTACCCCTGTAAACTCTTTTTTCACTGACAGAAACATGTGTCATCATCCATTTAAGAAATGCAGATCCTATTTGATACAGGAATATTAGGAAGCCATGCAATAGAGGAATATATATTCCTACAGTCACTAAACAAATCCTAATTCATAAGCCGCTCAGATCAAATGTTTTTCACAAGGAAAAGACCATGAAATGTCTTTTGAGTATTTGTATAAAAATGTTGATAAAACAGAATCACAGAATGAACTAGGTTGGAAAAGACCTTTAAGATCATCTAGTCCAACCTATGACCTAACACCTCCTCATCAGCTAAACCATGGCACTGAGTGCCATATCCAGTCTTGTTTTAAACATGTCCGGGGACAGTGACACCATAAACGTTTCTTTATATTTCACTCTAAACTTAAATTCTTGCAAAGCAGCAGTTTTGCCTCTTCAGAGAGCATGGCAATCCATTGTTATGAATAAAAAAGTTATCTATTTTTGTTTAAGATTACAGAGCTAAAACCGGTTGGACCTGTTGCTGTTAAATTAGCTTAATTGTTAAGAGTTCTTCTTTAATTGCCCGTCAATGGTTGGTGATTTAGCCATTGTCCTCCCGATGCTTGCCCGGGAGCTACACTTGGACACAGCAGCCCAGGAGAATAGGAGTGGCCTGAGACCACGTATGCAGATGAGGAATGCACTGCTCCAAAATTTTCCCGTTTTCCAGGAAAACCCCTAAAAACAACGAGCCAATATAGAATTAGGGGACCCTAGGTGATGTCTAAGGACGGGCGCATAGTCCAGTGCCTGCTTGTATCCTTTTTGCTTCTCACCCTGACCTAAAAGGATGTTGACTAGGGAGAGGACCCGAAGTGTTGGACCGAAAAGTAGGAATCTGCCAATCTCCCGTGAGGACGCAGTCCCCAGCTCTGCCTGCAGACCAGCGGACAGAGCGGACAGAGCTGCATCACCCTCCTCCTTCGTGCCACTCTTGGGGACAGCGGCGGCGTGGGCGCGACCCGTCGATTTCTCCCCACCTGAGCTGAATCTCTTTAATAAAGGCATTAAAAAGGAGAAAGATCTCCTGCCCTATCTATTTCATCCATGAGGTTCTTAACACATGTAGTCAAAATACTTCAGATACATCAAAATACTACAGTCTCAACATTTACGCCTTGCACAACCTCAAACACTACTGTTTCCATCTTCTCCATCACTTCCACTTCCTTCAGCCCTCTTATTTTCCCAGTCATAAGTCTGTTCTGCGAGTGTCATCTGAAAGTCTCATCTGAAATGCTAATGGCCTTCAAATTAAATTTCTCTGGCATAAAGACAAACTGCCTGCAGTTTCTTTCTCCTGTGATTGTTTCTGCCCTAACAGTGCAGGCTACTTAGAAGATGTGAATAATCACTATTCTGTTTTTACAGTCTTTCCAAGGCTTTTAAGGTGCGTCAGGGAAAGGCACCAGTAGGTAGCAATGCAACACCCAGATGTGAATTTTGGGGCCCAGGACTTCATCTCAACTTGCAATGTACACGTGAACCATCACAGTTTAAACCAGAAATACAACTGTTCCAGATTTGTGTAAGTGGAAATAGGTCTAGAGAGAAGACCCTAAAAACCCTAATAAACCAGAATGACTTGAAGCACTCATTCCTCTTCTGTGCACTTGTATGATATTATTAGCATGCTCTAGTTAGACAAACATGACCTAAGTCATACTAAAATATAAGTTATAAGCAAGATTTTCCAGGCTGGGTTGTTTCACATCTCAGTTACTTATTAAAAGGCCAAGAATGATTACTGCAACACTTCTAGCACACTGCTGGGGTCTCAGACCAATTTGAAGAAAAGGACCTGTGTACTGAAGATAGTGTACTAAGGTATATTTAAATTTTGATCTTTCTTGCATCAGTCATCTGAACCAGAGGCTAGCCAGTGTGCTATTCTTTCTTTAAGAGGACTCATTGACACAAATGTCTTGGTGAGTTTTCTTCTGTTTGTTTACACTTCATTTTGTACAGAAAAGGTTCTAGACGAGAATAATAGACTTTTAAATTTTGTTATTTAGTTTTTTAAACACTGGCCCTTCCCATAAAAAGGAAAAAGACCAAAAAGGTTTTGCTGAGATGAGTACTGCTTATCCTACATGCCAAAAGTGCAAAAGCCAGAGTTTTTTAACAACCAAAAAAAAGAGTGACAATGAAGACAGTCTTGCCATCCACAGTTGAAGAGAACAGTGAATATAAAGAAGAATATAAGAATATAAAGAAGAAACTGTGCCCAGCCCTGATTCTCTTGGTTTCTCAATGATCAATTAGCAAATCAGTCCAGTTTGAAATAAAATTGGAAAAACTACTTGCTCCATAGCAAATTTTTGCTAGCAGTCTACTTTTATCTACAATAAAAATTGTCTTAAGGAAGTATCTTTCTGAAAACAATATTTTCTGCATTCAGGAACTACTGGGCATGCTTAGCACTGCTTTTCCTTAGCATGCTCTGGTAGCATGCTCTGAACTGGTCCCTGATGAGCACCTGTAGGCACCCAGGAGAGTGCACTGCAGCATACACTTTGCTTTCACTCTTTTACCAAAGGCAGTTTTCTACTCTTAATGCATTATCCTTCAGCATGACTTCAAACCAGCATTACATTTTCAACTCTGAATGGCTTTTTAAAATATAAGCAATTTAAGAGGTAGCAATGAAAGGAAAACTAGCTAGTGACACTCAAATACAAGACATTAAAATATTTTAAACAGCTGGCATATTAGTATTTTGAAACATTGCCTTAAAATTGTAACTTTTCAACTTTAAAATCTACTCTGAACTGCAACTGACACAGAACCTCAGGAATGAGGTTCCAGAAATTAATTCTTCCCATTTGATTGCCATGATGCTACAGTGTGTTGTCACATTTTGGAGCAACTGTCTATATCCAGCTTGCTCCTTTTGCTAGTGAGTAATGAATGAGAGCCACAATTAAGCCCATGACACCTAATCTATGTGTATTCCAGGACAGATATGCCTGTGTTTTGAATGAAACATGAAATAGATGAACTGCCTACAGTAAGTTCAGTGGAAACAAGGCCCATAATATTGTTGTCTTAGAATGAATTCATCCATGTCTACACTAAGTGTTGTCTAACCTGTTTCTCCCCTTCAGGTGAAATACTGTGATTAAATGATGCTTGTATTGTCTCTCAACAGTCAAAGCAGAAAGAACACTCTTCACTTCATGCAACCGGTAGTCTGTTTTCTGTACATCAGCTTGAGCCTGGGACTGAAGGAATGGAGGGGAGGCAGAGGATGTCAGTAGCTCAAGGACAAAGGGATAGAAGAAAAGGAAAGGTAAGGAAGGGAAAGGGAAAGGGAAAGGAAAAGGGAAATTAAAAGAAGAAAAAGGAAATCAAGGATACTTTAAAACATAGCACAGGGACTTAAGCACATTCCTTTTGTCTCTGTCAAAAACTGCCCTAACAGACAAATAATTTATCATAATTTTCTTATCTTCTTCATGTAAAATGGAAAACGATGATTTATCTCTCTAATATGTTCACATACTACAGCTATTGATGCCTATGAATAATTTTGGAAGGACAATGATCAAATAAAACACTAGAGTAAATGCCAGCATTCTGAACTTCAGAAACAAGTGTTTCCTCTGGACCTGTGAGTTCAGCACAACTGGGTGTTGAGAATTGTTAGATCATTGTCTAATAGTCTCTAAACAATAAGCATGTATTTAATTTTTCAGAAGCTGAAGTTTTTACACTACACAAAATAGGGTTTTTTTTCTACACAAAAATACCACCCAAGAGCTTTTCAGGACTAATATTGTTCTCTTGATAGAATTCAAGTAGTACTGTGATCTGAAATTCTTTCTGCCCTCGTGCTGGTTTAAGAGACATCTTTCTTCTTTTGCTACAATGGCAAAGGAAAAACATTTCTCAAGCCAACTTGATTACATGGAAAGGGAGAAAAGGCCACTATTAGAGATTGCTCATGAAAATTAATCTGATCTCTGATAAAAGACATGTGATGAACGGCTGTACACAATATATAAATACTGTTTTACAGACTTTTGAAAGAAAGCTAAAGACATATTTCCCTGTGAAACATCATGGTGAGAAGACTCCATAGCTCTCTATGCAATAGATGATTCTTAAACAGTGTTAATTTTAAATTCTCACCTCCTCTCTTGATGAAGATAGGCTGTGTATTGGATCCTCTGATTTCTGATACCAATTACATTCAGCATTCTCACAGAGCTGCTGCCAGTTAAGTTCTGCTTGCATTTTACTTTGTTTCAGAATCCGTTCTTGCCCAGCTGCCAGAGACAGTTGTTGTTTAGACCTATGAGACACAGAGCAAAGCTGTTGATTTCAGCAGAATAAATACTAAGGATGTTTTGTTGATATTTTTTGTTTGTTTGTTTTGATCTGGTTTTGTTTAGTTTAATCCACCTTTGTTTATTGTCCTAATCTTCTTTCCTTGTTCTATTTTATCTATCTATATTATCTATAATAATATAATATATAATTAATCTAATCTATATTATCTCTATATATATCTATATATCTATATATATCTATATATATATATCTATATCTGTATCTCTGTATCTCTATATCTATATAT